AGGGGACAGGAGGTGAGGAGCTGGCAAGGTGCTGTGTTGAGACTTTCTGACCAAACTTTTTGGGCATTCTGCTGGGACCTCTCCTAGAATTAACCAGGAGTTAATTTCCCATCTATAGTTGAGATTAACTATTCCTTTCCCTGCCTCAAACTGGAGAGAAGTGGTTCAGTTCAGCTTAAGCTTAGGAAATGTTTGGGAGCGTTTCTGTCATTCTGAACCTAATAATAATAATAAATTGCAGTGTAAATTCTTAAATCAGTTTCTAGAATGACTAGATTTTTGTCACTTAAATTTGAGGAAACATAGCGCATAAAATCAATATGAGTGAAAAATCTTTTTTTATTCTTCCATCAGGTCGTTCTACACCTAACGATAAACCTAATGGTAAAAACATGCCAGAGCCAAAATCCAAAATTCTTCCAATAAAGGTAAGTGTTGCTCAAGTCTTATTTGAGGAGAAGAGCTTGAGTATGCTTACTAGGATCGATAATTCCCTGTCCTGGGATCTTCTCTGAAAATCTTTTATGATTCAAATGTTTAGTGTCTGATAGGTCTTGGGAATTGTTATAACCTATACAGATTTATCTCATTTCTAGTGCTAAAAACAAACAAACAAATCTATGGGGTGTGATCATTTCAGAAGGTAAATGATGTAAGATTAAGTTAAAAATAACACATCTATATTGTCATTAAAAAATATGGCTTATCTCATCTAGTTTTAATATTTAAATTATTAGCGTTCCTTGATCTAGTTCTAGTATTCAAGCTATTAGTGTGATTTCTCTTGCTGATCCGGTAACAAAAGTAAGAGTAGTGTAGAATATAGCCTTGGGTACTATTGAAAAATCTGTTCTGAAACAGGATGATACACTTTTGATGACATTATTATAATTGGGAAATAATCTGAAGGTTTTTATGAAATTTAAGCAAAATATTTCCTAGCATACAATAGGTTATCTTAAATGGAGGAACAGAGGAATTGTCTTATCTATTATTTAAATTATTCTGTGGTAATCAGCTATTTGAAAACATCAAATCAAAATTACTAGTCTAAATAACTGATCATGTCAGCCTCTGGACCTAAAAAGTTCGTATGTAGTCTGTTGAATTAAAATATTCCTAGGATTTTTCTTCAGGCTCTTAGCTTTCAGAAAGCTATTAACTAACTTTTTTTTTTTAATTGAATTCAGTATTTCCTTCATAAACACGTGACCTTCTACTAGAAGCAGTACTACTTAAGAATACTTGTTTTACGCTGTTTTATGCTGCGAAGAAAATGCCATGGGGGGGTGGGGGGGGAGAAAACACGAGTATTTAAAATAAACAAAGCCTACAAGCCTAATACAAAACTATTGTTATCTAAGGATTACATAGAGAAATGAGATGGATGTTCTCTGTATTAAAATATTGTCCATGGACCTTGCATAAGCTTAGTCTTGTGAATTCATGTTTTCTGGAATTAAAAAACGGAGAGGTGGACATAAAGGATCGGGTAAGAACAGCTACAAACGCTAATAATTTTTAGCGTATTGCTAAAGAATCTCAACGTTGATGAGAAAACATATCGAAGTCTGCTTAGACTGCTGTATTTGCACTAGTATTCTGCTAAAGTAAGGATATTTTGTTGTAGATATTCCCAAACAGGCCCAGTCAAAACAACACTGTGCTAACGTAAGAACTAAGCAGGTAATGGATGATTAGTAGTCACAGAGTATTTTTTGCCTCTTCCATGTTTTCCTTTTTCTAATAACTTCAGGATACAGGATTTAAGAATATAGATTCCTGGGTAAGCTTATGTAAAACGATGATGCTTCCAGCTCCAATAAAAACATCTGCTGAGAGCTTCAAACAGTTCAGGAAAGCAGCATTAAAGAAGAGGAGTGGGCAAGCGCAGGAGTTAAAAAGGCCTCTGGTGCAAGCTGAGAGGGAACTGCAAAACCTTCCTCGAGAAAGAGAGAGGTTTGTAACAACGTGTTTAAATATTGTTCTATTTTTTGCTAGTATGGTACTGGGTGGCTTAGTTATTCAGGAACAAGTGGTTTGGATTAGATAATTGCCATGCGTCAGATGAAGGGGGGGAGCTGTACCGCTCTAAACACAACTGCACATCCAAAATGCACAAAGTGGCTTTTTCCCTTGCAAATCAGTATCCTTTCCGCAGTCAAAGAAACTTCTCAAGTACTCCTTCCCCCCTCCTTTTTTTTTTTTTTTTTTTTTTTGTTTTTTGCTTTGGTCCCCTGGGGCACTCAATTCCTCTAGTCGTGACCAGAATTCATGCCTGTCCTCAGCATCTTACTTTCCTATATCCGTAGCCAGGAAAATCCCCATCTTATTGCTATCCTAAGGGGAAGCAGGATAATCTAGTCTTCAAGAACTTGGTGCTAACATAGCTAAAGGAGTTCCAGTGTGCACCACTTCAGAGAGCAGAATTCTTTGCATTGCCGTAGAGAAACATATTCAATAAGCTACTGCTGTAGTATTCTTCCCTAGTTGTTTGCAGCCACTGTTTTAGTGAGTGCCCACATATGTATCCCAGTCTGAGGTCTATTATTAGGCTGAGTGGGATAAGTGACTGCCTACTAATTACTGCATTGCAGTAATATCTTAGATTGCTGTTTGCCACCTTTTTGAAACTCCGCTTTCTGTAGTACTTCCTTCTTCAGTAGTCTTGATTTTTTTTTTTTGCTTGTCTGTTTGACCCTGTGGAAGATAAGTTTGAGCCAGTTCCTAAATTCTCCTGCTCCTGCCCGTCACAGCTGTATGAGAATAGTCACTTGTTTGGAGTGTATTATTTTAATAAACAGAGCGTTTGAGAGACTTCAAGAGTACGCTCCTTGTTCAGAACGTATAGTGAACAGTCCAGGCACCTTCAGCTACTACAGGTTTCCACGAGGAGGAAACTGGGCACGTAACTCTTGTAGCTCTATGGAATAAGACATTACAGTTGCTTGCCTGAAGTTAGTGAAATCTAACTCGAATAACTAGTTGAAGAGGAAGAAGGTAGAAGCAAAACATCACGGGCCACGAAAGTAACAGAAATTTAAGTGTGTATGTCTGTTTCAAAGGAAGTGCATGTAAGCTTTGTGTAACGTATATAAATCCTGTGTGCATATAGATTGGAAATGGAACACAGAAACCTCGTCGTACTACAGCCCAACAATTGCGTGCACATCCCTCTTGCGAAGGGAAATTACTATGAATCAACATGTAAAACATAACCACAGTTTGTGCTATGCGCTGATTTAAGTTATTTGCAGAATTCTCTTCAGTTGCAAAGGCTTGTTACGAAGAAAAAGAAGAAACAACTTTTATCCTATACCGATCTCTTCTGCTTTCTTTAAAGGGGCCATGAAGGCACAGCATCGGATGCCATTGCAGTGACAGACTGTGAGCCCCAAAACCAGCAGAAGAGCAAACAACTGCCCAAAGTTCAACAACATACTCTTGTTCAAGACCGTAACTTGGCTAGAAAAATGGAACAAGAACGCAGGAGGAGAGAAGCAGTAAGTTGCTGACTCTTGCCAGCTGATTTTGTTTCAACTTTAGTGGAGGATAAAAAATGTTAGGGCCCGAATGATTGAAAGCAACAAAACTATGCTACCTGAAGAATTAGTCCAGAAAAGAGAACTCAAAGTAGGTCTTCAGGTGGTGGAATATGAAAAACTATCTGCTTGGTCCTATTATTCCCATAAGCTTAAAATAATTGCATGGTAGAATCAAATTTTAAAGTGGAGTCCCTGCCCTTTGAGTAACTTCAAACCTCAAGGCTTGCAAGCTGTCTATGTCTATCCTCTTTAACATACTCCATGTCAACAACACTGCCAGTCATACTGTTCTGGTCTGAAATATCAAAACTGAGCCTTTTTAAAACTAACTTACTGGTTTTATTGGTGTAGGTAATGAATGTTTTTTAATTGCCTTTTTTTTTTTGATTAAACTTTTTTTTTTAATTCATAATATCGTACAACGGAATGTAAGAACTGCAGCGCGCGATTATGCTAGAATCAGATAAGGTCTACTAAAGCTTTCATCCTGTTCAGCTCTTTTCAGGGAGGACTTCAACAACATGCACACTCAAACCTGTAATAGCAGAGGAAGCATACACTTTTTGGGAAGAAGCTTTGTAGTTTTTTCTTAAATCTTTATTAAATATTTGACCTGCATATTACTAATTAATGTCTGACTGCTCTGAAAATACACTAATTTGCTTTCTTGCAGATGGCTTGTACAATTGATATGAATCTGCAGAGTGATATTATGGCATCTTTTGAAGAATATCTTGAGTGAAAGCTGTAGTTAATATAGAACTTAACTTCAACATTACTACAAACTGTACAACTTTGAAAATGTACTAGTTACAAGCTTAAATGTTAAGACCACTTTAAAGAGCACATGAGCTCCTCTAAAATGCTTGATATTAAAAGCTTGTTCATGGATATTTGAAGCATCACAAGATCTTTTTGGTGCTTGTTTGCAATATATGTTATCTAGTCTGCTACACAGTGGAACGTAGTTGTTCTTTTGATTAGTTTTATATGTTGTGTGTGTATATATATATGAGAAAATATCAGCTTCTTGATTTTTTTTCTCATTTTTTAAAAATCAATTTTTTTCAGAAACACTTGAGAATCTGTTATACTGAGCATAGCCAAATTCTTCTGTTTGACTGTATTAAGTCATAGTATACTAAATATGCACCTATAGAAACTACTTTAAAGCAAGGTCTTATCAATTCTGTGATTGCTATTAAAACAATCACTTTACTATGACACGCTTGCACAGAATCTGGGCTGTGACAAAAGACCTCTATAATAGTGATAATTTCTGAAGGGTGCGTAACGTTATTTGTAATCGTAAAAAAACATTTCCTGGAACTCTGTAATTTCAACAGCAAATCCTGTATGCTTGCATGTCTTTTAAGGCCCAGACATGTTGATCTTCTGTTTAATGTACTTTATGTTAACATAACATTTGGATAAGGGTGCAAGCATGTTTGCCAAATGGCTCTGGTTCTTCACAGAAAGAAATTATGTAAAACATTCCACTTCTGGCTCCAGTTTGAAAGGCTTTCTGATTAATGCAATATTTTATTAATGTTGGGATACTTGTCTGAAGTAGAAACTAGAGTGTAAAAACCCTACAGTCTTGTTGATTATATATAGCTATCTCAAATTAAGTACAGGACTAATAAAACATTGTTTTATAGAAATAATACCAAAACACAATGTGTATTACAGAAATGTTGGGTGGAAGGGGGCCCCTAGAGATATTCTAGTTCAGTGGTCTCCAAACCTTTGTCATCATGCACCCCATCAGCAAAAATTTTAAGGATGCACCCCCAAGACATGTATATTTATTCATTTACAAATTATATACATGTTCTACCGTACTAATATGTTATGTACATTATAAAAAATACACAAAAATAGAAATTAAATATTTTAAATAGTTTATTTAATTTTGCTTAGTTATGTTTATTTTATTATTTTTGTAATTAAAAAAAAACCCTTGTATTAAATATTTTCTTCCCACACTCCACTTTGGAGACCACTGATCTAGCTGAACCTCCCCCTCAAAACTCTCTCTCCCTGCTGAGACCTCCGGTCTGTTGAGTTCCTGGATCAAAGTTGGAAGTGAAGGTAACGCTGCCAGCGTTGTGGTGAGGGTCTGCCACTGACCACCCAACTAAGTAAGCTAAGCGGACAAGACTTTCTATAAATAACTGAATTTTCAGACAAAGGAAATAAATTGCATCTAAAGTCATAAATGACAGCTAAAGCATGCCTGAAAATGGTAGCCTGGACTTTCAGGTCGCAGGCTGATGAGCAAGTGCTAGTTCCAAAATACCTATTCTGCAATAAAATACTCCTCTGTGTCTTCTACTTCTGCCGTTGCTGGAACGGTAGTACTTCATTCAACAGCAGAAACAGTGTATGTTGACAAATGCTCAGATCGGGGTATCACCCCTTGAAACGTCTAGGGAAGTCCTCTTTACACGAGCCTTGCCTGGATGCAGGCTCAAGTGTATGCTGTTCGGGAGATTTGAGTACTTGGCTAGGAAGGGGATTTGGGGTGAAAGTTGGGTCGTAATGTGAAGTGGTGCTGTTAGGATGTCTTGTTTCACATCCACAACAAAAGTGATTTAGGCCTGCCTTCATTTGTAGTTTATACATCTTTAATAGCTATTTCTCCTGCAATAAAATGTTACAGTTCACATTCAGGACTCCCTACCTTGCCGTCATCTGGACATACTTTCTGACTGGGTTAGTGCAAGCTCAAGATCTCTTGCTTTGGAAATAGGTGACAGGAGGGAAGGGCAAGAATTTATTCTCTGTTTTGTCCGTTCTATATAACCATATGTGCATTGCTAACAGTATGAACTGGTACTCTTGCCCCTTCAAAAACTAATTCCAGCTTCCATGACTCTCTATTGTCATGGTGACTTAAAGTCACAATGTCAGTGCTGCTAACGCTAATCTGATAAACCCTTCATTTGCAACCTACAAGCCAGTTAAAGAGGATAATCAGTTCCTACCTCCAGACAGAAGCCCGAGTTCAGAGGGAAGGGAGATGGTCTCCAAACATAAGTGAGTAGCAAGCCTACAACGATCGTGTTTGCGCAAAGCTGTCGCCGCGCTCAAGCGAGCAGGAATACCAGTTGTGCGGATACGGCCTGCAAACAAAAAGCTGCTTAAACAGACTGAGTATTGTTAGTTACCTAGCAGTTAAAATGTGTACTAAGTTCCGTTACACCATTAAGTTACCTTGACCATTTGTGAAAACAGCTGCACTAACGTGTAATTTTTATACTTGTGTCTACGCTAGTAGATTGTATCTACATGTAAATGAAGGTTAAGATAGTTAAAAGCTTTAAAAAGTTCCTCTGTCACTAATAAATGGAATATGTTAAATTTTTTACTATCAACTATGAGATGGTCAGGCCAGAGGCAGAGTCAGAGATGTGCCAAGTTGTCCTCTTTTGTCTCTCAGAGACACAGGATTAGTTGAACTTTCAAAAGATTAGCAGGCAGATGGCACATCATGGAGGGCAAAGCACATTGTCAAAGCTCGTAAGACAATCTGCCCTGGGGTTGGTTTGGCTTGGCACCCGTTAGAACAACAATTTAGAGCAGAAAATGAGAAAATCAAAATATAAGGAAAACAATAATTGTTGGGGTTCTCAAATTTTCTTATTCATATGAGATATATGGAAGATTCTAAGCTTTCTTCTGCAAAATGCTGGGAAATGTGTGGATGGTATTTGCCTTGTGCAAACAGGTTTGCCGCACGTATGTAGACAGCGTGATCCTGGACTACAAAGAAAGCGTTCCTCAATAAAAGAGGAATTCTGCTGCTTCCTTGGCAAACAGGACAGCTAAGGTAGCGCAGGTGGAGATGCCCAGAAACGCTGAGCCAGGGTGTGCAGAAGGGCGTGCAGCGATTTCATCGTGCAAAAGCCCCTCAGAACTGCTAGGTCCCCAGCACTATCTTCTTCCCAGCTGTGATGCTGGATCCGTATTTAATATCTGAAGATGACATAGCTAAACTCCACAGGCAAAAGGTTTGTATAATTTAGAAGCTTGACATAAAACTACCTAGGTAGTTAGTGATGTATAAACTAAAAATAGTTCTATTCTTGTGAAAAAATTAGCTCTGCGGTTTGTACAAGAAATATGGCATAACTTGGCCAAATACCTGCTTTATAATAAGGCACATGATGATTCCATCTCTGATCCTTCTTATATTCTAGATGGCTACTGTCATTTTGTGAATGCTGTGTCTAACCCGTCACTGGCTTCCATCAACCTTTCTTTAGAGGTAAGTGGAAGCTTGTGGTTAACTCCAGGATTTCTAACCTTGGTTTTCCAATTTCTCTTTGGGGATGTTTTCTACCAGTTCATTCCGATTACTAGTTTATTAAGGAATTTGATGACTTGTGATATAAACAACAACATTGGTTGCTTTGCTCCTGCCAAACTTTCTAACTTATCTAACCGGGTCACTGGTTTACTGAGGTGCACTCCAGGGAAAATCCTGCTGCAGCTAGTCTGATACGGAGAAGCTGTGAAGTCTTCTTCCCTACGAAAAGGGTTATTAGCACAAAGTCTGATGCATAAAAAAAATTAGTTATATGCTAATCCTGGGGTCGGTGGTATGAGTAATCTGAGCATGAACAGAAGGCTCAGGCTTGGTAGTCATGATTCATATAATCCTACTGGAGTCTGCGGAGGTTGGTGTCTTAACTGAATCATCAGCTTCTGATGTTGTTCCTTCTCTCCTTGCCCAGGAGAAGGAAGGAGCCTTAAACAGCCCAGCACCTTTTTCCCCAGCAGCCTGATAAAGCTCCCGACCTTAAGTCTGTAGGGCTCACTTTGAGACAATGAGCAGGGAGCGTGAACAGCACGATCCAGCGTTGTCAGCTGATGCGGGTTGCTGGTGTTTCTTTTCTGTTATGAGTAAGAGGAAGCTAGGCAGCTTTTTACAGCAACTTGAAGATGTTATCTTTAGTAGTAAAAAGTAAATTCAGGTAATGGTTTTGTGTCTTATTTAAACTTTTAAATGCATGAAAATGCAGTAATGGGCAATTCTTTATAACGTTCCTTTCTGCTGCTTAAGGTTTTTATTTGATTTTTAAAAAAAAAGAAAAATTTTGAACTGGTTGAAACCAGCATTAACTCTGCCACTGCCTTCAGTGGGACTAGGATTCAACATCAGTGTCTATATTTGTAAGCCTGAATTTAGAACAAGTAGGAGAAAGCATTTGGTATGTTACAGACAAAAATTGTCTACAAGCTGTGTTTCGTGCACAGTGAAAAATGATATATATTCTGTCCGTATACATGGTTATCCAATTTGGGTTTTTTTAAACAGCTCATTAAATTACATATCTTAGAGTTAACAGATGCACGGTGTCTTTGTACCAGCTTCTACTTGCGCTGCTGGACAGAGGCAAAAAAAAATTTCTTGGAAGTTAAGTTCTAATCCTCCAAACTCAGCTGGACCAAGAAGAAATTTTGGTCTTCATCAAATTCAAGTAAAATTTGGCAAAATCCTCCCCTCCAAAAAAAGGCAGGCAGTTGCACACAGGCCTACGTTATTAGTTGTGGCTCTCACGGAGCTTCTACAAGTCTCGAACCTGCCTGTACCCTCTAGTCTGAGAAGCCAAGGGGTTTAGATCGAGGAGTAAAGGTGAGCAGGCTGTGCACCGAGTCGGATCAGGACTTGTCAGGATTTGACATGCAAGCTCAATCCTACTTTTCTTGTAGTCAGCAGCTACTCTGCCCGCG